CTGCTGTCCTATTGCTCTATCCTGTGCAACTACAAGGCCATCGAAATGCCCTCGCATCAGACCTACGGCGGGAGCTGGAAATTCCTGACGTTCATTGATCTGGTAAGGCCGACCCCTCCCCTCCCCGGTCCGCCCTGCGCCCCGGGCCTGTGTGTGTTTGGGGTGCGCGCCTCCTCCCGCAGCACCCTGTGCTCGCGTCCTCCGCAGTGACTGCGTCTAAAGGCCTGGCCGTCCCCGCTGCGCCGCCTCGGGAAACACCCACCGTTACCCGGTGGCCCTGGACGGAGGAAGGTGCGCGCAGCGAGGTGGTGGGCTGTTTGCAAGGGGACACAGACCTGCTTCTAAGATGACACGGGAAGATTCTTCGATTACCGAAAGCGTCGGACGACCTTGATCTTGATCTGAGTGGCCTCAGACTCAACCGCCCCGGAGGTGCTTTCCAGAGCACCCACTGGCGGATAAACTTGCAGCAACCGAAGGACGCTGGGTATTGTCTAGTCCCTGGGAGCTTTGCTTGAAAGCACCCACCTTCTCCCAAGGGAGAGAAAGTACCCAATAAAGTTGTCTTCTTTGCATCTGCTTTCTGCCCATTGTCAGTAATTTACAGTACTTCCAACCTCTTCCCGAGGAACATCAGAGGGAGGGAGTTTCAAAGTGCATTTCTGGCCACGCTGTGCACTTTCGCAGTTGGCTTAAGCAGCTCCTCTGTAGACACAACATGACAACCTTAATGTATAGATTATTATACCTTCTGGCCCTGAAAGGGCTCCCCCAGAGACTCAGATCTTGGGTGTAAGGCCCAGTAATGACGTGAGGTGGACCTGGGCACTTCTGGGTGAAAGGTCACACACACACACACACACACACACACACACGTGCGTGCGTGCACGCGCCTGTACACTAAAAGATTATCAGCTAAGGGCAGAGGGTTTAAGAAACTATCAGTGAAGTTCTACATGATTCAGAAAAATGTAGAACCACTCCCAGAACGGTAGAACTGTCTGTCCAAGATGATACACAAGGTTGCCCATACCAGCTAGGTTAGGCATCTCTTTTCTTGACCCTCTGTATTAAGAAAATATTTTGGTACTTTTTTAGAGATCTTCCCAAAGGCATGGGCTGACTCAAAGCAATGCAGTCAGAGGCCTTAGAAATACCCTTGTATTTATGTATTATGAGATAAGTTTGGAGAGGAATTTAAATTCTTGCCTCAGTCTGTAGGCGCACAAGTCTGCCTGTGGCCTAGAGTGTTTCAGTTTTCAGACTGTCCACTTCTTACTTAATCCGCCTCTGCCTATGAGGGTGTCCCCTACCAATTTCCCTTTCTTCTTTCCATGTGAGGAGCCCATGGCAAGGCTCTGTGCTGTGGTTTTCTGCAGGTTTCTTCTAGCACTCAAAAGATAGATGCTGTCACCAGGACACTCTTTGTATCTGGATAAGTGGGCTTGTCAGTGAAGATAGGCTTTGCCAGTTGTGTTATATAGCGGGCATTTTTCATAGATTGGATGAACTATCGCTTCAGCCTTGTTCTGATAAATATGTGTAGAAAGCATGTCTTTACCACGCATAAAGTGTCAGAAATCATGTCCCCTCAAGAGTTTAAAGATGGTTAGATGTTACTTAACAACATGTGCGCCTTTTTTCAGAATCCTTTTAGGAACTGTGTGAGCAGAGGTCTTTTGGGTTGGTGGCCTTACCCTGTTCCTAAGTCATATTTCACGTAGAACCTGGGAGTGTTGCCAAGGAGTGAGCAACAGTTTGTATATACACTGCTTGGCCCTGCCCTTGCTTTATTTGCTATTTTGGGTCAGCAAGTAAAAGAGGTAGATGAGGGTGTTAATTATCTCAAGACAGATGACTGCTTCTTCTGTCGGCATTGTTTACTGTGCGTTAGAAAACCAGAAACAACGTATCGCCTCTAATCTTTTAGGTGGCGCAAAACAGTAGCAGAGTTGGTTTAGTATGCTGTCATGCAGTCTCTATTTTAGCAGTCTCTATTTTAGCATTTAAGACCTTCCTATTTTAAAGAGCGATAATCACAATTTAGCATTCCATTATCCAGTCCATAAATTCAAATTCAATTATTAAATTTTGTTTCATACTTCTATTTGTCTATTTCCATAAGGCTGTTAGGCCACCAGCCTAGGTTTTTGTACTCTGTCTCTCCTGATTGATGCCACAAGTAGGTGACACTGCCTTAACTGTAATACTGTTAGCAGGCCCAAGGGTTTCCTTCATCCTTGTCCAGGGGAGCACTAGCCTTCTCTCCTTTCCTACAATACTGTGGCTCCTGATTGAAGCAGAATAATTTCCTTTCACCAAGACTTTCTGTGAGAAAGTATGTCTGAAATATATTCATAAACACACACAAAGTGTTATTCCTTTCATTAGAGATATAAAGGCATCATATAGCTGGTGAAAGAGCCAAACCGTCAGTCTTTCTAGATGGCATGAAAGCATTAGGCTACTTAGATTTACCTGTGTAATTTTACATTTGTGTGTGTGTGTTTTAAAAACGCACCACGTAAACTTTTATTTCCTAGTGCCCTGACAGTTTTAATGGCTGCAAGGTTATAGGAACAATTTTAGAAGCTCCTCAACTTTTAAATAAGAAAACCATTTTTTTCTGACCAACTTGGATCATGGAGCCAGGGCTTTAATCTTAAGGGCCGTAGTTGAAGTTGATGCTTTGTAACATCAATTTCCTCAAATAGGAGTAAACTCAGGAGATGGAGCCGATGTATCCAGGTGCAGATGGCTGTGTGGTAGCCGCCATGCCAGCCATTTTCATGTTTCTGTTTGGGTAGGAGAGTCGTTCCAAGAGAACTAGAGCTGGTGGACAAAAGGTGAAGCATAGATTGTCACTACCAGTAACGGTCAGTCATCCCCTAAAGCTGCTTTTCCCCATACTGAAAGATTACAGTAGAACTAAACTGTGTTTGGAAAATGCCAGTTACCAGATGGAAAAAAAGACGCTGTGTTGGCGTGGCAGACAGCATCATTGGGGCCCCAGAGATGTCCACATCCAAGTGCCCAGAACCTGTGAACATGTGAAGTTTTATGGCCAAGGGATTAAAGTTGCTAATCAGTCAGACTTTGAAATAGGGAAATTATTCTGCAATATCTGTTTGGGCTCAGTACAGTCATGAAGGCCCTTAAAAGTGGAATATGCAAAAGAGTCGGTTGGAGGAAGATGTGGCAATGGAAGAAAATCACAAGAGATATGCAACTTTACTCGCTTTGAAGATGGAGGAGGAGACCAGGAGTTAAGAAGCATCTAAAAGCTGGAAAGGACAAGGAAATGGATTTTCCCCTAGGGTTTCTAGAAGGAACACACCCCTGACTATACCTGGATTTTACCCCAGTGACTTCTTACCTCCAGGGTTGTAAAATAATAAACTAGTGTTGTCTAAGCCACTAAATTGATCATAACTTGTTGCCACAGCAATAGAAAATGAATACAGTTGGCTTTAAAGCCTCTAAGCTAGAAAAAGCCTCATCTTATTTTGTACTTACAGAGAATAAATACAGGATTCAACTTGTCCTTTATGTATATTAGATAATTGACTAATTTTAGCTGTAACCAAGACAGGGTTTCACTGCTTCATTCATGAAGCTATGTGGAGGAGACATGTTTACATATAATACAGGCAGGATGAGAAGTTAGAAAGACTGAACCATGTTGGAAATACTAGTATTTCAGCAATTATTGTTATGCAGTGTACCTGGCCAGGAGAAGGAATAAACAACTGGAAATAAGCTAGAAAAAATAAAAATGTAAACAAATTGAAATGCTTTCTTAGGCAAGTGTCACAGTTCATGAATTTTTAGCAAACGATGAAGATTTAGTCCCTTATTTACTAGCTAGCTGATTATTCTATAAGTTATGTAATTGTCCTCAAAGATAATCATAGAAAGAATAAAGTAAAACTAGCACACACAAACAAGTAAAAAAGTATTTTGAGGCCTCCAAGCAGTGCTTGGAGTATAATAATAGATGCTTAGTATTTGAATAAATGGAAAATTTCCCTTTCCAGATTTTCAAGGAATATACTTTCCCTTATCCTGTCTTCTCCCCAAACATTCAAAATAATGGGGATTTAAAAATAAATTAGAACCTATTTACAAGTGGATGGTCAAATGTTATCTGACATAATCAGATTCAACTCCTTTGAAAAACATGCACTGGGTGTTTGTCAATAAAAATTGAATTAATAATGACATTGGATTTGAGAATTTTGCGTTTTTAAAGATTGACATAATCTGGCTCTCTCCTTTGCTCTGGTTTTTGGTAGGTACTTAATGTTTTGAGTGTTGCCATTTCTTAGGGCTCTGCCCTGCTCATTTCTCCCCCTGTACTGACTTTTTGCGTGTGCATTGGAAGAATACTGTTGAGACCATGCTTACCATGTCTGGGCTGAGACCAGTAGGATCCACTTTCTTCGGGAGCCAGCCCCACCCCACACTTCTTGACCAGAATTTGGATCTTAATGAGATCCTCAGGTGATTCCTGTGCACGTTCTGGTTGGATGAACACTGAACTGCACTTTTTTTTTTTTGCAGTTTGAGGAATAGCTGGGAGACTCAGCCTTCATATATCAATCCTGTCTACTTTCAAAACATATTTAAGGTGAATTTCGCTGTGGCATAATTTAAAGATGTGTTAAAATATACAAGTTGCAAATAAAAAAGAAAAATAAGTATCAGGCTCCAGGTTGGGGTTGGTTATTGCATTTGAGAAAGAAATTTAGATCATCTCCAGGATAGCTAAGGCAAAAGGGAATACACTGTTTGATTATAAACGAAATATTACAAATTTATCAGGAGATATACAGCTTCTTTCCAAGGTTATTTATCACTGGACTCCTCATATAAAGGATTATCAGGCAGCATAATAAATAGTACATTTAATTATTTTTAGCAGATTATATAGAAATATTCTCAGGGTTGATGTTTCTAGTGTTGCAATTTTATGAAAGCCAAAGGCAGAGTGTTACATTTTGGCTGGGTGAAAGAATTTTTGTAGAAGTTTAAAGGAATATAATCTAGGTTCATTTGATGTTGTTGTTATCTAAATCCATTTTGGAAGAGAATTTAAGAAAACCACAAATGAAATGGAAAAACATAGGATGTTCATAGAGCAGGAAATGGTCAAATATACCTGGAGGATACATTTTTGCATTGAGTCATGTGAAAACTTTTGACATTTAGAAAAATGTTACAGAGATAGAATAAGCTGCCTAAGTGTCCTGAAGTTTGCATTTGAGTAAGTCTTACATTTCCATGCATACTTATCATAAAATATGCTCTTGACTGCAGCTCATGGCTCAATTTAAATAAGAAATAAAATATCTTGAGAGGAGATTCTGTATGTCATTATGTAACTGTGGTACTGAGTTTTGCCAGTCAAAACCACAGGGTACCACATGAAGGCCACCAGCTCATTGCTCAGTGAGGAAAATTAAGTGGGCTTTTTTTTTTATTTTTATTTTTTTGGATCTTGAACAAAGAGAATGAAACTACATTTTTTCCCAGAGACCCAGACTTGACCCTAAAATGTGTACATAAACTTGAAGGATCAAATAATATTTTTTCCTAGCCTGGAGGAAGAATTGTGAGAAGAATCCTTTGCATACAATACTCTTCACCTTCTTTGCAAGTGTTTCTCTTGGATCAGACATAAAACAGTGCCTGGTTTTGTCAGAGTGAGGGAAATAGTTGTTGACAGAGTCATTCATTCCCTCTTTTAGTCGCACATGGTATTGAAATTACAGAAAGTCATCTGACCACGGTTGAGGTCACTCACTTCTTCCCCCATTGCCACCAATCCTCCACGTCTGGTATAACATTTAGCAAAATTGGTATCTGCTCTTGAGGGTTTCGTTTGTTTCTCTGGGTTGCCCCGCGATGTCATATGTTTCCATGGACGTGTGAACAATAGTACGATTTTCCACATTGAATCAGATGTTCCTGTGATCCAAGCGTGCTTGGAAAAAGTCTCACCGCTTAGGGTTCCGTACTAACATGGCTTGATTTGGTGCAGGCTGTGCTGCTGCAGTTAAAGGGCTCATTTCGCACCTGCAAGGCAGCCCTGTCCCTGTCCTGGTGCAGGGCGCAGAGAAAACTCACCAGAGTGTCTTCCAGAGTGACATACTCTTTGGTCAGCTCCATTGAAGAATGGAAGATGCAGGATGGCAGGATTGGGATCTGAGAAGTCAGACAGTGCTCCAGCCCCTCCTAGTAACTTCGAGTTTGATCGCCAAGGCTGAGTTAGAATTCAACACTTTAATTCCAAAAGCAGTAGATAGCCATTATAGAAATTTGCACATTTGGGCCCCACTTTGGGCATAAAAAAAAAAAAGATTTGTATAATAATCTGAGGGAAGAAAATATAGTTCATCTTAATCTTCTTGCCTTGCATATTAGCATTTCAGTGCTTCAAAATAATACTTATTTTGGGACCTTACACACACAGAGAAAAAAACACATGGATTGCAGATATACATGTATACTTTTGTATGGTTAGATTTGAGGAAAAAAAATCACACTTTTTGTACAAGTTACTTTTAAATTACAATATTTAAATTACCCAGTGTTAGGCATCATATTACAATAGTGCTATATTTTATATTTGCTTTTTCAGTTACATCTATACTTAAAAAAACCAAAGTGCAATAGATAGCATGGTTTTTACAAATTTTTGAATTCACATATATAAAAATTAGTCACTAAATATAAGTTCTGTAAATTTTGATGTAAGTATAGAATTGTGTAACTACAACCATAATTACCTGAAAATATTCCTTTATGTTGTTGCCTCTTTGTAGGGGAACTTTCCCTTGAGTCCTTTCCTTTCTTTATTGTTTTGTGGTGCTGAGTGGGACCGACTAGAACAAGTCCTATGCTAAGGGCCTCTGTGTGCTAAGCATATGCTGTACCATGGAGTCACAATGTACCCTCATTCCTCTCTCTCTAAAAATATACAGAGCGTGTTTAGGGATGTGTGTGAGACGTCCACTTGCTGAGTCCTCTCAGAATGTAGTGCTGTCTTCTACTCCAGCTCTGCTATTCGGTAGGTGTGCACTCGTACTTGATGGTGGTTTTAATTTGCGTTGCCTTCTTGAGTAATAATGCTAAGTATCTGTTCCTGTGCATTTTCATCATACATCTATATATCTTTTTTTATGAAGTCTGTGGAAATCTTTTTCTCATTTAAAAAATTGGGTTGTTTCCTGATTACTGAGCTTTGAGAGATTTTATGTTTGTCAGATTTTATGCATGC